GGCTTTGAGACGAGGGAAAAGCCAGAGTGTGTGATGTAGTATAATCCAAGCGGAGAACAGATTTCACTGAAAAGGGAATGGCTACTGTGGCAAATGCTGCTGAGGGTTCAAGTAAGGTGAGAACGGAGATGTTTAGTAACGTGGAGATACCAGCAGCAACTTGGCAAGAACAGTTCCAGGGGAACCGTTATTGGTTTACTTGAGTATGTTCAGGAGAGGATCAAAGAACAGGAATCAAGAAAACAAGGTTAGGCAATTCTAGAGGAATTTTGTTGTAAAAGGTTTCAGAGAAATGCAATGATGGCTAGAAAAGGAATTGGAATCAGAAGAAGTTTTGTGTTGTTCGTTTTTAAACTAGTGTACACATGGCAGCATGTTTGTACGCTGATTTGGGTGATCCGGCAAAGAGGGAGATTGACGATTGTGGAAATGAGTGTGGACTGGCGCTCTGGAGCAGCGACGCGGGCAGAGGCTGGAGAACAGGTGGGGGAGGTGGCCTTGCAGAGGCAGGCGGCTGAGTAGGGTGTTCGAATGCTAGGCAGTGGGCAGAGAAGGTGCTGAGAGATCGTGTGGGTTCTGCTCTGATTGCTTCATTTTTCTCAGTGAAGTAGGAAGCAGAGTCATCAGCAGAGTGTAAGAATGGGGAAGGAGGTGTTTCAAGTTTGAGAAGAGAAAATAAGAAAAGACATAATAATTTAAAAGAGAAAATACGAAGGGACTAGGAAGATGGGGTGTGGTGCTGACCAGCCTCAGGGCCCACTTTAGGCTGAAGGACAAAGACCTACAGGAGTGCAGTCAGCATGGCCACGCTTCCACAGCCATGACAGTCACACCGGGTCAGGCCTCGATGAGGCAGAGAACAGCGTTTAACCAGGGCTGGCATTTTGTCAGGTAAAGGGACAACAGAGATGAACATGCGCGCAAACGGTGTTTTTAGTGACTCAATGTGAAATGTGCACAGTGGAAGAAGACAGGCGAGGCATGAAGGGGTCGGGGACATGAAAATGAGGTAGAATCCAGGTTCAAGGGTACTTGAGAGAGTGAGTGAACCAGTTTGGAGGAGTTAATCAGACAGTGGGATACTTGAAATTGAGATTATGAAGCTGTTGAGTAATGGTAGGATTTAGGTTATACAATGGGAATAAATCTCTGAGACTGGATAGAAGACAAAATTATTGAAGGAGAGATCATATTTTTGATAGGCCAAGAATCTGTATTAAATAAGTGATTGTGATGTAGGTGGTCCAAGGACTGTGTTTCGAGGAACTCTAGTTTTAGGTAGAGTTGACTAGCTAAGCATATAAGTTTAGGGTGAAGTCAGAAAACATGAGGGGGCTGGAAGAAACAGGATGATTATTTACAGAATGTTGTGGGTTGAGTGTGCTGGACACAGTGTCATATGGTTCACACACATCTTTTTATTTGTTCCTGGCAACAACACTGAATTCTAGAGACCATTATCACCTCTATTTCACAAAGGATGAACATGAGAGGCAGGGAGGTTAAATAGCATGCCCAAGGACAACTCTGACTCCAGACTCTGAGCTCTAAGCCATTGTGTCCATCTGCCTTGACAGGTGCAATGATTATGATAGAGCAGGTAATATTAAAATCCACATCCTGAGATGTGATTACCAGATTTATGGGATTAGAGACTCTTGAGAACAATATTGTATACAAAGCCCAGTAATATACATGATCTCATCTAATCCTCATATTAATCCTGTGTATTAAGTAATTTGCCGGGATCATGCGGCCAGTAATTAGCAGAGCCCGACGTGAAAGCATATCTTCTGACCTCCTGCTTGCATACTCCTTCCACTAACTGGGGGTTGCCATTACTTTCCAGAGACGGTTCAGACAGCAACTTTAAAGAGACTCTGAACGGTTTCGAATAAATGTATTAATAAGGAAACCATTACTAGTTATTTCTTTTTAGAACCTAACAGGAAAAGTCTCATAATTCCTATGTTTCCATGGGAACATTTGTCAGCACAGAATGCAGCATTCTTCCTATCATGGAATGTTCTTTCTATAAATCCATGCATTCACTCAGCTAATATTTATTGAGCAAATAGTCTGTGCATGAGGTGTGCTAGGCGCAGAGGATATAACCGAATAAGAAATATCCTGCTCTCATGGAGCCTGCAGTCGCTACAGGTCTGCGACACCTCACATACTCTGCAGGGCCTTTTCACGTCTGGTGCAATTTAAGGCATTGCATTTGACCTAGAACACACTCTATCCCTTAGGACCCAGTTACCTAAGAGATCGTTCCTCTCCCTAATGGTTTGGCACAGGGTAGATCAGCAGTACTGCCCTGGAGACAGAGTCTTAGGTTTCAACTCTGGGGAAATAGAACCAAGGTGTTTTCCAAAAAAGGATTTTCCTACTCTAGGAGGACCTAATTTTAAAGCTGGATTTAGGAATACACTCTTTTGCCTGGCATTTTCAGTGGCTCAGTGGCACTGTGTTGCCCCTCAGCTACCACTTGGCCAGGTCTTTTGCTAGAAATATTGGATTTGTGCATGCCATATGTCTTAGTCCATTTTGCATTGCTGTAAAGGAATACCTGAGACAGGGTAATTTATACAGAAAAGAGGTTTATTTGGCTTATAGCTCTGCAGGCTTTCCAAGAAGCACAATCCCAGCATCTGATTCTGGTAAGGGCTACAGGGAGCTTCCAATCAAGGTAGAAGGCAAAAGGGGTGTAGGTGTGTCACATGGCAAGAGGAGCAAGAGAGGAAGGGGGTGCCAGGCTCTTTCGAACAACCAGCTGTCACATGAACTAGTAGAGCAGAACTCACTTATTACTGTAGGGAGGGCACCTAGCCATTCATGAGGGGTCTGCTCCAATGACCCAAACACCTCTCACCAGGCCCCACCTCCCACACTGGGGATGAAATTTCACCATGAGATTTGGAGGGGACAAATATCCAAACTATATCATCATTTGTAGGCTCTGTGACCCAACACCCTCTTACCAGAATGTCAGGCAAAGGCCAAGTAAGCAGGGCCCTGGCACCAGTCTGCGAGAATAAAGGACAATGCGTCCAGAAGGCGGGACTAATTACATTTTGTCCAGCCTGGTGCTGAGAGAGCTGATGAGCTGTGTCACGAGATGAGTGCGGTGGCTATTTCCACGTGCAGAGATATTCGTGCACTTGGCCTTCATCATGTTGCTGATTAAGAATGGCACCGTACACCAGCTCCAACTCACCTGGCACCTAGCGCAGGAAAGCGGGGCGGTTGGGGGTGTTATGGTTCGCCTCCAGATTTAGAAGATTCCAACTGGTGCTCTTAGTGGCAGTGTAGCGCTTGTTGCCTCACTTCCCTCTGGTCTTAAAATACATGAGTCACAGTATAATTTAAGAATTACACTCTCTGTCTCTTACATTTGCAAAAGTTTAGTGAGACAAATCAAAGCTTAAATTTTCTTATTGAAAACAAAATGAAGATCCTATATTTTATTGGGGATAAAGAATCTTTTAAAACCGCAACATATTTTGTATTCTGCTTGAACCATTCCGATCACAGATTTAATTTATTCCAGTCATTTCTGGAGTTGTGGGACCACACAGCCAGTTTGCAACCCCTACAGCTTTAAGAGAAGCTAATTCTAATTTTGGAGTAGAGGAGGTGGCGCCAGTTCCCGGCTCCGCCGCTCCCCGCCCGCGGGCAGGGGGCGGGGCCGGTACTCAGTTTCCCGCGGCTGTGAGCCGCGCCCCGCAGTCCCCGCGCGCTGCAAGCCACTGCCAGGGATGCGTGCTGCCCACCTGCCGGGCCGCCGGCGCGCCCGCCTGGCTGCCGCTCCTCCCGGCTCGGTCGCTGCCCGGCCGCCGAGGACGGCGAGGGACACGAGCGGGGGGCGTGGGCCCGGGCCACGGAGGAGTAGAGCGCCTCCCCCCCTCCCCGAGCCGGAGCGGCCCCGCCCGCCAGCGCATCCCGGAGCCCTCGGGACGCCCGCTGCTTCCCCCGAGGGCGCGGGCTCGGGGCTCCCGACTGAGCCGCCCGCGCTCCGCCGCCTGCGCGGCCTCGTGCTCCGCGCGCCTTTTCCCTCCCCGCTGCACGGCGGGGCACGCCCACTGCCGCTGCCGGCACGGGGCCCCGGTGTCCGAGTTAAACCGCTTCTCTCCACACTCGCCGGCCCCGGCCGCACCCAGCCCTTGTCCAGGTACCCGCGGCGCGAAGCGAATGCAAAGAGGCCCGGCCCCTCCGGCCCTCGCCGCCGCCACACCCGCCCGTGCCCACTGCTCCGTCCCCCGCGAGGGCCGGCCGCGGGGAACCCTCCTCTCGGCGCGCTCCTGCCCCTCCCCCAGTGTCGCTCAAACCCACCCGGCGATCTCCGAAATCCCGTGAGCGGGGCCCTCCGCTGCTGCCTCCTAACCCCTCGGCCGCGCCTCCGGCCCCCGGGACCGGCCAGGCCGCCGCCCCCGGCCCGCCGCTCCCCTCAGTCCCAGCCCCTCCTCCGGGGCCCTCCTCCTCCTCGCCCCTCCCGAGCCAGGGTGGGAGCGGCGGCAGCTGGAAGAGAAGGGATGAGGTCATCCTCTCCCTCGGAGTCAGCTGGTGGAGGAGAGGAAGCGGGAGGAGGGAGCGCGCGCGAGGGGAGGAGAGGAATGTGCAGGTCCGAGGAGCGCCGCGGCGGCCGCTGCTGCTCCTGCTGCTGGCGGCGGCGGCGGCTCGGGCGGCAGCCGCGGGACCAGGGAGACGAGCAGCGCGGGCGGCGGGCAGGGGCGCGCGCGGGGCGCCGCGAGCAGCTTGGCTCCGCGCAGGCAGCCAGGCGGCGCTCCTGCCGGCCCCAGGCGCGCCGCTAGCCCGGCCCAGCGCCCAGCCCGGCGGGCGGCGGCGGCGGGCGGCCGGCGAGGCGCAGCGGCAGGAGCAGGAGGAGGGGAGCCGCGCTGCCGGGAGGAGGCCGGGGCGCGGCGAGGAGGTGGCGGGAGGAGGAGACAGCGGGGAAAGGTGTCAGATAAAGGAGGGCTCTCCTCCGGTTCGGAGGCATCATGGCCGCTAAGTCAGACGGGAGGCTGAAGATGAAGAAGAGCAGCGACGTGGCGTTCACCCCGCTGCAGAACTCGGACCACTCGGGCTCGGTGCAGGGATTGGCTCCGGGCTTGCCGTCGGGGTCGGGAGCCGAGGACGAGGAGGCGGCCGGGGGCGGCTGCTGCCCGGACGGCGGCGGCTGCTCGCGCTGCTGCTGCTGCTGTGCCGGGAGCGGCGGCTCCGGGGGCTCGGGCGGCTCGGGCGGCGGCGCTGGCGGCCCGGGCGGCGGCGGCGGGGCGGGCTCGGCGGCGCTGTGCCTGCGCCTGGGCAGGGAGCAGCGGCGCTACTCGCTGTGGGACTGCCTCTGGATCCTGGCCGCGGTGGCTGTGTACTTCGCGGACGTGGGCACGGACATCTGGCTCGCCGTAGACTACTACCTGCGCGGCCAGCGCTGGTGGTTTGGGCTCACACTCTTCTTCGTGGTGCTCGGCTCGCTCTCGGTGCAAGTGTTCAGCTTCCGCTGGTTTGTGCACGATTTCAGCACCGAGGACAGCGCCACGGCCGCAGCCGCCAGCTGCCCGCAGCCTGGAGCCGATTGCAAGACCGTGGTCAGCGGTGGTTCTGCAGCCGGGGAAGGCGAGGCTCGTCCTTCCACGCCGCAAAGGCAAGCATCCAACGCCAGCAAGAGCAACGTCGCTGCCGCCAACAGCGGCAGCAACAGCAGCGGGGCCACCCGGGCCAGCGGCAAACACAGGTCTGCGTCCTGCTCCTTCTGCATCTGGCTCCTGCAGTCACTCATCCACATCTTGCAGCTCGGGCAAATTTGGAGGTACCGTATCAGGGGTGGGGGAAGAGGGAGATTTGCTGCTGCTACTACATCCCCACTGCTTTGCTTTTGCACGAAAATCGTTCAGAGTTGCTGTGGTAGTAACCCTAGTCACACTCAGTTTTGTTTTTTCTTAATTGGGATTACATTTTTAAAATTTGAGATCTCATCCTAAGGTGGGAGGGAAGTGAGAAGCAAGGGAAGTACAGCAAAATGGGTTTGATCACCTCATCCCTCTGTCTTCCCACTCTGCTTCACTAGCTTCGCCCTCTTTCTGTGCTACAACTCTACCCTCCCCATTTTTAGTGATATTGTCTGAGTAGGAGAGGATTCCTGTCACATCTTCTAAAAATCTTTTTTTGTTATGTTGAATTTGAGGTGTGTATTGCAATTTGGATGGTTTCTTTTTTTCTCCCTGGGAAAAATTGCTAATTCTAGTTGGATGGGAGTTTTTTCTGTTCAGAAGTACCCTCATTTTAATGATCACTGCTAGAGAAGTACTATACTCAAAGTGAAGAGCTTAGTAGACACATGACTGTCTCATATGTGTATCTCCAAGCATGAGTAAGCGCACGTTTTGGGATCCAGACTTAATTTTATAGTGCACATTTTGATTATCTTGCAATATCCCTATATCTAATTTCTCATATAACTAAGAACCTTTGGAAAAGGGGTGGGGTGTCATGTAAACTTTAATCGTACTGAGTATCTTCATTGGCTGCTTTGCTACTTGTCATCTTACCTACCAAGTGTTTTTTACTCAGATATCACTTCCACTTACAAACGGGGCTAAACTTCTTGGGCAGAGGGAAACCATCACTCCAACAGTCAGTGCATGAACTTAGGAATATAATGAAATAGTATGCTCAGGAATATGTTCTTTTGACTTTTATATGTGTTTAGTAGCTTTTTGAAGCAATATTTTAGGTCTACAAAAACTATTTGTATGGAAGTATATAGATTCTAACATATCAGAGCTTTTTTGGTTTTAAAATGACTTAGTAAGTATGTAGGGATAAGCAAAATGAGGAAACTTCCTAGAAAGTGCACCAAGATGGGGCTGCACTCTGCTATACCAGTGTTCTTTACCAATTTCATTTGTAATTATTTTTGTGCTAAAAGACATTGTAAGTCATTGACTATGCTGAAGTGTCCCATATGGAAACAACTCAGAAAATTTGTGGGCCAGAACCATAAACTTCTTTTTGTTTATGGTGAACAACAGTGTTTTCAACTGAGAAGAGCAAGTATGATGATTTCACGACTTTTCCTAGGATAGTGCTTTGTAAAGCAGGGTGAGAATTGCCGTAGATAGTAACCTTTCAGATTGGGAAACTTTTTCTTTTTTTCAAGCAGATACTTTCTGGGAAGGCGGTAAATGATATACAGTCAGACAAATTGATGTTGTAGACACCTCCATGTTTCGGACTCAAAGGGACATTTTGAAATGTCGGTTAAATGTGATAGCTATATTTTCCATGGGTGACTATTGGGAAAACTTAAAGGTTGATGCTCTTCTTCAAGTATGATGAAGAACTGAAATGCTTGATTTAATTTTTTAAATTATTTAGTGGCTAGGATGCATATGATTAGCATTTCTAATCTGATAATATGGTCAATGAAGCTTAACCCTCCATTATTAACTTTTTCAAACTTTATGCAAAATTTGGAAATCACTTACTTTTAATCACATCTGAAGTTTTTAGATTTATGTAAATAATGCAAATACTTCTCAATTCTATTAACTGAATAACTATACGTATTTCCTACAGATTGATGCTTTATGAAAAATCTGATATCAAATTCTGTGACCTGAAGAAGTCATTTATTTTAATTATAGTTGCATTTACTAGATCTTCTAAGCCAAACATTGTCCCAGATGAAAAATGATGCTTAATTTTCTCAAGAAATTGTACGTAGAAAGTGAGAAATAATTAGGAAAAGATAAAGGCCTGAAAAACGTCTCAGAGAGACCACAGCCACTTGGTCAACTGGCCATATAGAAAAGCTATCAAGGGAGAGGATGAATGGAAGGGTAAAGTTGAATGTAAAAAGAAAACCACAGCTGTCAGACAAATGCATTAACTAACCCAACCCTTAGAGAAACTGTGGTCACACATGGCTCCTTTTACTAAAGCATTTCTATAGTACTTTCCTCAGAGGCTGTGAAGTTTAGTCTGATGATGCATGATCATCTGGAAGTAATGTTGTTGGAAATATCAGATGTTTGTCAACATTTTCAGAATAATCTGTTTAGTATGTAAGTCTGAATTATCATCTAATCTGACTATTTTTGGATCGTGGTTAAGATATTTGGGGGATGCCAGGGTAATATGGTGGAAGACTAATCAGCCTCATTTTCTCTTTATCAAGTATTTTTTTAAATCACTTTAGCCTAATGTAGGAAATTGAGAAAGGATAAGAAAAATTATGGAATTTAACACTCAGATGCATGCTAATAATGTTCCAGTTTCTCTAAGCATTGAACATTCAAATGGAACTTTGGGGAACAGATGCATCTTTGATAATAAGCTAGTGAAGTACAACTCATCTCGGATTATTGTATTAGACCTTTATCCTAGACCACTATGATTCCTTTCATTATAATCATCCCTCTTCCTCTTCTAGCTTTTCTTTTCAATGCGTTGTACAAAAATACTGTAGAAACACCAGGGTACTGAGTGGTTCAAAGCCCAGAGGTCATTATTCATGTTTTAACATGCTACTTTCTGGAATCAATAAAATAGATTTTAGCTAGGATGGTAACTGTTCATTGTATTTCCATGAAATTCTAGTTATTTTAGGGAAGGGCTAGATTCTAAAAGCTTTCTGTGGATAAATCTTTTGAAATAACATCAAAGTGTTTACTTGTTCAAAAATAGCTATTTGAAACATTGTGAACAAGATTTGAGTGTATTTATACATGTGTTGCAAATGCAGCTGCTAAAAGCAATGATATGTATTCATTTTAATTAAAGTTTACTAATGGAAAATTAATGGCAGCTTTTAAAGTCACAGGAGGTGATGCTAGGAAAGAGCCATTTGAAATAATGAAGTGAACCTTCGCTACTATGTGAAAAGAGCATTTATGACTTTAAAGACACCCTGCCTGTGAATGAATGAGAAAGTACTTTTCTTTCTTATTCTTTTCATATGATTCCAGAAATTACTAAGATTGAAGTTCAGCCAGTGGGAATCACAAATGCCTAATGAGAACAGTTTTTAGTCCTCATACCCATGATCAGTTACATCTGATGTCTTTCCGTCAGAATTTATAAGGTTTACTCTTAAAATTTTACCTGAAATTCTCCTGTATATGTATGTACATATTTAGTTGTTTTCTGGAAAATATGGACATTGCAAACAATAAGTCAATGGATGGTAGAGTGGGGAGTATTTTCACTATTTTGATATTTTGGGGTTTTGTTTCTGAGTCTCTATCATAAGAGTGATGTGGGAAAGATGGTGAAAATGCAGTTTCTTCTCTATGGTCACGCTCGGTATTTCCTAAGATACTGAGTGTGTTCCATGTTCAGATAAATTGGGAAAATGATAGGTTAAACAACGTTAAACAGATCTCTCTACAACAGGACTTCTCAGAGCCTTTAATAAGCTAAAGTACAGTTGCCAATAATTTTTTTTAAAGGCATACCTATTAAATACTTTTGTAATGATATGGCATACTAAGCACTTTGAGAAACATGCCATTCTTAAACCTGGCCAAACAAGAAAAATAATAATAATTTTATTAAGCACTTTAAAAATCTATAAATAGTCTTATGCTTTTTATCTCTTCTAAGTTTTACAATACATCGCTTCTCGGCCTTTTGGCTAAGATCAAGTGTAGTATCTAAGTTTTACAGTAACCTAAGAAAAAAATTATTAGTATCTCTATATGTGAGAAAATTGGCTCAGAGAGTTTAAGTAACTGGCACAAGGTCACCCAATCATTATGTAGTGTAGCTAGGATTCAAAACCTGGCACATCTTGCCATAAAGCCTATGCTTTTTCTGGCTCAATTGGCTACCTCCAACTTGGATAGTAATGACAACTTGGATAATGATGACAACAATGTATAAAAATAACAACTTACTTTCACTGGAGGTGGCAGTAGACAGGTTGGGGGAGCTTTCCAAGAACATAGCAGTAGTTAAGTGATAAAAGGGGGACTTGACCTCAGATCGTTCAGCTCTCAGTTCAGTGTTCTTCTTGCTACACTGTTTAGACATACTGAGGTTGTTGTATTAAGTCCCAGCTGAGAAACATAATCATGTAGTAGTTTTAATGATTAAATGGCATAATGTATATGACTATGCAAGAAGTTATTTGCAAGTGATGAAGAGGTTCTAGATATAAGGAATGGGTAGAAAAAGAGAGAGGATATAGGTTATACCTTTTACTATTGAAAAAGATGCTTTATTGATTCTGAGTTGCTCCTGAATTCTAATATAGGTCAGGCAAGATTGGTGTCATTTGCTGAGTTTATTGAATAGCTATTTTCTTTGTATTTGTGTTTCCTCTCTATGTGTATTAATTACTTTATTTGTTCAACATATATTGAGCATGTACTATATGCAAAGCACTGTGCTAGTTACTGATTATCCCAAGCTGAGTAAAATACACATCTTTTGAAGGAATCTACTGTCTAGTGAGGAAGACATAAAAGTAAACTATTTCAGTACCAGGAAATAAGCACTATGATAGAAACAGGAAACACAAACCACCTTAGTTCAGGTAAGACTCTCTGAAAGAGGGGATGTCTGAGCAAAGGTTTGGAGGATGAGAAAAATCTTCTATTTGAATAAAGTGGAACATTGGCTTTAGAGCCTTAGATACAACGCATAAAGGCTAGAGGGGCAAGAAAACAAGACAGGTTAAGTGTGTGCTCTAAATACAGAGTGAATAAGGGAGAGTAGCTGCAGATGAGGATGCAGAATTAGTTGGGCTAGATAATGAACCTAATTCAGATTTTATTCTGAAGGCATGGAGGGGCCATTGAAGGA